AACTCTCACTGAATGTGACACCCAAGGTGGGAGCAGCTGGGAGCAGGTCACCAGCTCCACTCACCCCACCCCAACTGGAGAGGCTGCAGCCAGAGACTCTCGACAGTCAAGGACAGACAGAGAGGGGGAGCCCTAATTGTGGACACCATATATCTCTTTGGTTTCAAAAAGTTTTAATTCCTTGGTGCAAAATTCAAAGATATGTAAAAATTCAAGGCATTTGTTCAAAGCTTCCTCATCTGCCCACAGATGCATAAGCAGCCACTTTCAGACCTAACTCGGGTACTGGGGCTCCTCACTACTCCAAGGAAGAAGTCTTGAAAGGACAGCTGTGCACATGCCTGCAGTTGACAAGGCCACGATGCCATAGCAACCAAAGGCCCACCTGGAAGCAAAAGCTTCCAGAAGTCCAGGTGCACAGCACCCGGAACAGAAGGTCCTACAACAAAAAGCTGCCCTCCTCACTGTTTTAACTTAATTTCACTGTTTATTACCATCACAGGCCGGACTGAGCAGACTGTCGACCTGCAGCCCAGGGTGAGCTCCATAGGTGGCGCCCTGAGCAGCAAGCACTTCCCGGAAGATCAGGAAACCGGAGGCTCTGTGGGTCAGATGCACAGGAAAGCACAGGTGCTCTGAGGACTGCACAAATTACCCAATTGCAGGCAGGTTTCTCCAGAGCCCTTTAAATCTTGACCTCAAGATTTTCAAGAGCAGTTGCTAATTATGTTTTCATCAACTCACATATAACCCACACTTTAGAAAAGCTTTCTTCGAATGTCATGCAAATGGAAGCAGCTCACCTGGGTGCTCTGGAAATGCCTGGGAAGCAGCGGGAACTGCCTGGGTTTTATTCTGACTTCGAGGATGGGGACACATGCCGCACTGCACCAGGTTAGCACCACTCTGACCCAACACCCCTCTTGGACCCCCCTACAGCCATTTAGGGCAACTTCCCACAGGAGTCCTGGGAGCCAGGGCACTCTGCCTTCGAGGAGAAGGGCCAGCGCCATCATCCTGAACAAACCAGACACCACTCTCCCACGTGGCTTCCTGGGCTCCCTGACCATTAGGCTCTACCACTCCGTAAGCATAATGAACTTGGCAAGTCACCCTCTGTTCAAACACCCAGGTCTCAGCCATGAACGCAGTGCTCGGGCACAGTGGGAGTGAGGGGCTCCCAGGAGTGTGACAAGACCCCATGTCCTGGCTGTTGCTACAGCCCCAAGAGACACCAAAGACACATAAGACCCATCCGTCCATCACCAGGATGACCAGCCAGGAGGGCAGCCCAGGCAGTGAGTGGGCACTGCCGCTCATCTCTGCCCAGAAGTGGAAAACAGAAGGCCTGAGGCATTGCCTCTGTCCTCATATGACCCCCAAACTTTATCTTCCTTTATTCTCTTCAAAGGGCGCTGCCACCTGAGTGTACCCAGCCTGACGAGCTGGGTTAAGGCCCCCCCCAAGTCACGCTCTCTGCAGGCGGGCAGCAGCCCCCTCCCCAGGTGACCCACGATGACAACCTCGGTAACTTTCTCATCAACAGAACCTTGGCTGCTGAGAAGACATCCAACCTGGATAGTGCTTGAGAAACAGTGAACACACAGCAGAACCTGGTAAAGGTGAGAGGCCACCTAACAGGGCAGCACTCAGCCTGATGGACTCCCCTTGCCTTCCCCACGGCAGTCAACCGTGCTTCATAGCTAAGGAAGCCAAGGCTCTGAGGAGCCAGACACTCCGTCCCAAGCCACACAGCAACAGTGCCCTCAAATAACAAAACTCAAACTTCTAAGAACGTCCCCCATGCCAAAGTGCTGGTTGCCAAGCCGGTCACCAGAGCTCTCAGCTCCCGCAGCCTCGGAGAGAGCTCTGCTTCTCCACCTGCCTGGAGCTCATCACTCAGCCAGCCCCAGCAGTGCCAGCAGCTACCTGTGTGCTGCCCCTCCTTTCCCCACAGAAGTGATGCAGCTCCCTGGGGATGGGGCCCATGCCCTGGACACCCTGGGAGTGTCCCCTTGAAAGCAGTAACCTGCAGACGCTCCCTGCACAGGGATCGAGGCCCACAGGGAGGAGAGAGTCTTCTGTCCCGGGATAAGAAGCTATACTTGGGGCCAAATCTTAGAGCAGCAGGAGAGTGAATTCTGCACAAAAGCAAAGTAAGTGGAGGTAGCCAAGAAAGATACGACTTGCCACACCCAAAGATGACCTTTAGCGATGCGCATCTCAACATCCACCTGCCTTAAAAGAGCCATTTACTAGCATGCTAATATAGGTGTCCCATCACTTTTCTTTTCCTTCAACTGTAATCATAATATTACTTTGATGTTATGACTAACTTAAACTGTACGTGTCTAGTGCTTTTCAGGAATCTTGGGACAACCATGTTGGCTTCAACAATCTAACTCAAGACATGTTTTCTGTTTTTCCACAGTGAATAAAATCTAGACTCTGGCACCTCAAACCAGCAAATTACAACTAAAGAGACATAAGCATCTCTTTACAAACGACGTCCTGACAAAGAATACCAAGACTAAGTTTGCTAGAACCAAGTTCAACATACCACAGTGAACGTGCAGGATGAAACACCCTCAAGGCCAAAGGCCTGTCCTCAAGGACTTCAGGGTGACACTGCTGTACCTCTCCCACCCTCTGCAAAGGGAGGCCCTGGGAGGGGCAAGCCCGTCACACTCCGGCCAATTGCCACCGAACTGCTGTTCTACTTGACACCTAAGTGCAGCCTGCAGTATCCTGCCCTGCCCACCCAGCAAGCCACAGCTCCCCGTTCAGTCCGCACCTCAAACACAACCGAGTCATCAGCCAAGCAAGAGTCCCTTTTATAAGTTACTTCCACCTTTTTTAGTATGAATTGCTATTTTCAATGAAGAGGAATCTATAGTCTCTGATCAATCGACTATAGGACGTAACCAAAGCATTTGCAACTTGCCATTCTGATTTGCAATGTTAGGCTGCACTGTTCAGAGAGGGCACCTTGGTTTGCGATGCTGGCAGTATATTTTTTTACTTTGGCTGTTATCAAAATAAATAATTAATCAGGGTTCCTAATCAGTAGATCAACAGAAGGGGGACATGACAGATGAATGCAAATCTTCCATTTTCTAGAAAGCACTCAGCCCCGAAAGCCCCCATGTCAACATGAGTGGTTCCCTGCTCTCACCACATACACAAGAACTGATGCAAAGACTCATGAGAACGCGTGCAAAGAACCCATCCTCTCACACAGGTGTTTTGTAAGTTATCGCCTCATCAAATACAGTCAACCCTAAAACTGACCTTGAAACAGAAGATGGAAGTGAGTCTCAGGGTCCCTCCTGACAAAGGACACAGAGGCTTTTTCCCACTACATCTTCCTCTTCCTCCTCCTCCTCCTCCTCCTCCCCCCACCATGGGGCTTTACCTATGCAGAAGCTCGGAGTAAGGGGCACTCGCCAACCCCAAGCCAACCCCAAATGGCCACAGTCCCATCACCACCAACAGCAGGCAACAGGCACTGTGCTGAGCCACAAAAGACCGCCAGAAGAATATTTTTGTAAACAAAGTATTGTATTTTACATAGAAAAACACAAGGAATCCCCTCTTAAAACATTACTTAAGATCAGTCATGTTCTCCACTAAAAGGCCAACATACGGGTAATGAGCAAAACAGGGCCGGCAGCAGGACCCCCTAAGACACCTCGCCCTGAAGCTGACTGGGAAGGCCTCAGCAGCTCCCTCTCCCCTCTGCGCCAGTCACCCAGCAACTGACCTGGGCCCCTGGAAGAGTCCGCCCCACCGACCCTCATGGTAAAGGAAGAGCTCTCACTTCTGGAGGCGCTGCAGTTCTTCCAAAGTGACCGCCAGCTCTCGTCAGAAAGCACAAGGGGACGCGGGAGGGATGGCGCTCTCCTTACAGCTCCTACTACTGCTGCCACCGCGGCGCTGCTACAACTGCACGACACACGCGCTACTACAGGCCAGGGGAGGAGCCCTCCAGCTCAGTGTCCCTCCAAGGAGGCTGGGTGGGGGGATGGGAGAACAGGGCGCCCTGGGCAGAAGATCCCCAACAAACGCAGCATGGTGTGCGAAGCTGGGCCGGGAGGAACAGCAGAGGCAACTGGATGGACAGAAATGAGAGCACCACCAGGCTGAAGCATCAGCTGTGAGGGGCTGGGCTCCCTGACCCACCCCCTCACCCAAAGACCCCTGTGAGGAACATCTGCTCACCACGACCTGACAGGGCCGCACCAGGATAAGAGGAGCCTCCAGGCGCCTCCAGACACCAGGGCTGCCTGAGCATGACTGTGGCTTGCAGAGTGCTGGAACGCCACCCTGGAGCAGGGAGGCTGGGGCCCAAGGCTCTCCTAGGTGCCCTGACAGCTCTGCCTCCCTGATGGCAGCAGGGAAGCCCAGCCCTCCATCCAGACTTCCCAGCCTCAGGGAGAAGGCGTCACCCTGCCACAACCTCACCTGCAGAAGGGGGAGTCCCCAGCCCAGGATCACAAGGGAGCGGGGGCTAAGTGAGGACACAGGCCTAACCACAGACCCAGGCAGAGGAGAGCCCACACCAGCCAGCCACAGTACGGGAAACCCAGCATGCCCAGCTTGTCCCTAAACTCTGTATCACCAGCTCCTGGCACTTCACTTTCGGGCAGGGGCACACAGGAGGCACCTGGCGCTTCACTTTCGGGCAAGGGCACACAGAATGGAGCAGGAGTCCTGGCTGAGCAACTTTGAAATGCAGAAGAGCCGCAGACAGACACAAGGCAGCCACCCTACGGCAGAAACAGGGATGCAGGCAGCACTCGCTAGCTCACACGCTTGCTCACACGCACACAGTCACCAGCCAGCCCGCACCTGGGCAGAGGCTGCCCTGGCCTGCTCCGGCCACAGGGCCTGTGGGACAGATGACCTTAGCATTCCACCGGCGGAGAACTTCCTGGAACCGGCAGCTGGTGCCGCTGGGACCCGCCCTTCCCTCCCTCCCGCCTCGTGCGTCCACTCACCTGGGGGCAGCTGGAAGTTCTGGATGTTGGTCGGATTCTGGGGCGGCTGCGGCAGACGGGGAGCCAGCACGGTGGGCGTCAGGGTGGCCCGGATCCCGCCGGTGGTGGCCGTGGGCGTCCGAGGCAGGCTCTGGGTCACGGCGCCGGCAGTGCCTTTGGGCAGCCCCGTGGGGGTCCCGGGCGCGGGCG